CCGTATGGCTACATGGAACATCAGTACCTCGAGGGTGTGTTCTTTGGTCCCATGTGGATGAAACTCGAAATCACTTGTTCTTTAAATGTAGGTACACATCCGACATCTGGAAAAATCTCGCTTATCGGTTGCTTGAGAATCATTACACAACCGATTGGTTTCAACTTCTTCAGCTCACAACGAATCAAGCTATTGACAAACTCAAGTTTTTTCTGATATGTTATCTCTTCCAACGGTTTAACAAGTTTAGAAAGAATGAAATGGTTGTCGACACGGTGAACAACCATTATCAGATGCATCGACAATGGCTCAGCTATATCTCGATCGCTGGGGACCATGCCTACGACGAGAGTCTTAGTGTATGGTTTGGGACATGGTAGTCTCTTCATTCTACTCACCTCCGGTCAAAAATAGTTATTCTATTTTCTCTTAATTTCAAAACATATATGCATTTTGTGTAAACAATTTTTTTTTTGGTATGAAGAAAATTAACATTCATTTTTTAAAAAGGCCCCTTAAATTTTTTCTCCAATATATATTATATCAGGTCTGAGTTCGGGTAGTGATACAATTAAAGGAAGAGCTTAAATTTGAAAATAAAACTAACTAGTAATTTAAAAAAAAAAAATTGTTCAAAAGATTTTAATTAAAAGGGCCTGGAATTGTTTTTGTACAAGAGGCCATAATAACATTGAACAGGTGGAAGAAAAAATCAAATTCAAAGAAAAGATCTTCATCTCGTAAGTTTTTTAAATTTTCTGATCAAATCTTTCTAATTGTTCTTCCATTTTCTTTTTCATAATTAGAAGACCCCTTTTCCGTGATAAAAACAAAAAAAAAGATGAAGATCCTTTTTAAAAATTGTTCGAGTAATATGACCAAGTGTTAAGCACTATCAAAACTTCTTAGTAACAATACCATACACTAAGAAGAATTAAAATTAGTAATCATTAGGGTGAAAGGAAAGGCAAGAAAAACCAGGAAAAGAGAGAGATAGAGCGAAATTCCAAATCCTCTGGGCAAAATTAGTAATCATAATTTATATTAGCTTATAAAATTCACTAATGTGAAGGAACGGAAAAACAAAAATAAAAATTCTTCAGGTGTCCCTCAATGTCGAGTGATTCTCCCAGGGAAACTGCCTCTTCCTCGCAACCCTGAGGAGCTCCTTGAGGAGGGCCCGTGGAACGCCACATC